TGATTAAAAATAAATAAATAAATATATATAAATATATATATATATATATATATATATATTATATATATATATATATATATATATAATATATAAATATATTATTATATATAAATATATACATATTACGTAAGCTATTTAAAAAAATGTTGCAGAAGACAACAATTATAGGCTACTATATAGGCCGGTTTTATTTAATTACACTGATTTTATTAATTTCTCCTCAGTTTAAGGAATTAGTGAAAATGAAAATGTACATTCTTCCTTGATTTATATAATAATAATTCTTATTAGCACCATTAAATACAATGCAAAAACAATCAAGATAAAGCAATTAAGATTGCTACCTTGTATAACAGATGATTTGTTTGGAGTGACTGGAGTCTTTCTCGACATCACAGGGAACAGATCTGGTTCGGGACACCAGCGTCACACTGTTGCCGAAATTTGGGTCATCGGCATTGAGATTGAACTGATTGGCTTGAGCAAAACCTGAGAAGGAGGGAGGGAAAAAACGCTAAAAGAGACTTAAAACTGATTTTGTAAATCTATATTTTAATATATATTTATTACCCTGCCCCTCTATGGTCAGTCTCGTGCCGCCATTGACGCCTCCGACGTATGGGGTAACTTTGTTGACACGTTGCCCTCCTGTCAGGACAGAGATTCATATAAAATTCATTTAATGTCTGTAACGCGTTTAGGATGACAACAATGATATGAAATTAAGCAAAACGTTCAAATGACGGAGGTATATAGGCTACAACAAAGAGTGGAAGATAAATCCAGCCCGTACCTGCGGAACTCCAGCACAGTAAAATAAAAACTGTGAGCGACAGGTGGAGGTCCCGTCGCACGTGCCTCATCCTGACAGACTCGCGCGCTTCTAAACAAAGTAGCAGCCTGCAGTTACTGTAGACCTTCTGCACAAACAATATACACACCATTTGTGTTTAGCCTACACTTATCATTTATATTTCTATTACAAAACATATTTTAACATGTTCGTCTGAAAACAATGATGAACTAACAGGCTACATATTCAGTAGACTATTCATGCAGGCATGCCTTCAATTCATATAGACAATAACGTAAATATAGCCTACATAAAACCGTGAATACATAGAGTATATATGAAGAGTTCAGATGCAAAAGCCTCTAAGTGCCATTTGAAAATTTCTTCTAGAATGATAATTTTTATCAAGCTTGTATATTTAAGTTCAGTAATTTCACTTAAATGGCAATGATAATTACCTATTAACTGTTATTTAAGTGAAATTACTGAACTTAATATACAAGTTTGATAAAAATCATCATTAAAGAAGAAAATTTCAAATGCATTTAGAGGCTTTTGCATCTGAACTCTTCATATATATATATTATATATATAATATATATAATATATATATATATATATATATGTAGCCTAATTAAGATGAAGACATATTTGTAAAAAAAAAAAAGTTAAAAAAGTTTTTTAAAAAGTTAAATAGTAGGCCAATGACTATTCTTAAGAACAGCAAATGTGTTAGATATTTAGAAAAGTAACCATCAAATTTCACAATGACAAGACTCACTTGTTAAAGCACTCTTGAGAAATCCAATCACCAGTCGCTCAGTTGTTAAGAGGAGCTCTCTCTTTTTATAGTGAACTACCAGCCCACAGGGAAGAAATTTGCTTCTCCTTTGTGTCTCAGGTGATCATGAAGATTGCTGTTATTCTAGTTATTATTTATCGGTGTAGGCTACCTTAAAAAAAAAAAAAAAATTCTCACAGATGACAATCCTTATTTAAAACTCACTGACCTTTGTGCAGTAACGTCAACATTATTTTATATTCAAATGGTGTCTACATCTGAATAGACTTTAATGTCCCTTAATCGATTTGAATTATCTAAAATAAGATGAAATAAAGAAGATTTACAAGGAGAATTCTTTAGGTCAAAATAAGTCTTGAGCAAAATGCGTGTCAGTATCAATGCAACAAAACAACAGCCCATATATAAAATGATGATTTCAGGTCATTAAGATGATCATGTCCTGATGAACAGGATAATTTAGGATAATTTATAATTTAACAGCATGTATGGTATGTTGTATGGTAGTAGCCTGCTTAAATCCAAGTGTGATCTCTATTCATCTTTGATAGCCTAGCCTACAGCATTTTTTTCAGCCAAATTTGAATAGTGAAGCATGCAACAGTTTTCATCTCCAGGGAAATTTGATCAACTAAATAATTCAATAATTAAAAAGTTAGTTAGATAGTTAAACACATACACACAGTTTTCTTTTGTTTGTAGTGCTGACAAATTAATTTTCAATTACAATATCTTTCATTAACAAATTATGTCACACTCACATCCACCAATAAAATAGCCAAAGCGTTGACGAATATTATGCGATTTTTTGTTTGTGCCAATATCACTCTTTAACACATAGAGACGGCTATCATGCTGTTGATGAATATGCTTGCCAAATGCAAATCCAGTCCAGCATGAGTCACAAAGTAAAATGAATTGCTAAAAACAGCCTGATTATCTGCATAGAACACACATTCCAGCTGTCCCATCCATACATACAAACAAAAAACAAAAATACTATTTTGAGACTGTTTATACTAGCATTATATAACAAAATTCTGCAGTTACAAATGACAAATGACAAATAAAATGTAAACAAATATATTTCAATTATAATTTATTATAATTCATTATTTATGTAGGCCATTAAAACGAAACCCACAGAGACTCAATTTCCCAGAATCCCATGCGGTCGATCCGTCTCAAAACTTGTCCGGGTTTTAGCGTGTGCATTACAGTAAAAGCTAATTTCCTGTTAGCAACGTTATAACATTTTGGTTTTATTAAATACATTTGTCCTCAAACTGAATGTGCTGTTTCTTTGGAATATAATTTTTAAGAAATATGGCTTCACCGAATTGCTCATTGAAGGTAAACAGAGAGTTGCTGGATCCCAGTTTTGAAAGTTACAGGCTTTCACTAGACTCTATTCCTACTTACAATATAGAGCTGGATGCAGGTGAGAAAAAAAACATTTATTTTACCTGTTATGGTCTGATTTTATTCATTGTATAAGTGTTTATTTGTTGCTTCAATGCAGCTAGCGCACTGTGAGCACGGTAGTGTCAACAGTCCTAATAAACCACATTCAGATAATGCAGCTCTACAACATGTGCACTGCAGTGCTCTTTATAAACTACCAGATGTTTGCATCTTTGTTATGATCTTAAAGTTAGCCCAAAGCTGTGTTTAGGGCACATGACATCATATATGGTTTGGGGTGCCTTCTACAAGTCTGCTGCATCTGTCATGTGTGTCTTTCTTTCAGCTGTGGCTGAGGTTAAACTGAAAGACAGTCAGTACACCCTGGACCATGTGAGAGCATTTGGGATGTACAACTACCTTCATATAGATCCCTGGTACGAAGACAGCGTCTACTTTGTAGACAGCAAGGGCCGGGTTCTCAATCTAACAGTCACATTGGTGAGTCTCTTAATGTAATTTCTGAAATATTCTGAGAGTAAAAGGGCCACATATTTTGATGAACTTATATTTCCACCCCAGAGCACATAGCTACTGTATTTTCTCTCCCTTAGTGGGTCAGAAACAAATATACATTCTTAATAAATATAGCCTACTAAACAGGTAAATAGGTACTCAGCAAACTTCCAATGATGGCACTGGATGACTTGGAAGTATGTAATATATATCCCTCAACAACTTATTTTTTCATTGCAAAACATCACAATCTTGAATCTTATCGTATCACAGAAAGAATCATGTTTAATTCATTTAGAAGGGTCCTATTATGCCCTTTTATGAAGACTTGATTTAGTTTTTGGGGTGTACTAGAATATGTTTTCATGCTTGATTGTTCAAAAAACACATTATTTTTCACAATTCACATATTTTACATTAATACTGCACCTCTCTACGGAGTCTGGCTCAAACAAGGCAACACACCGATTTTGATGAAGCCCCTCCTTCCGAAATACACAATGCGCTGTGGTTAGCTGGCCTAGTGTGTTATGATTGGCACCGCTTAGGGAATGGTTAGGGATATGTTGCCCTCCATAATTGTGAGTTCCTCTCTAGTGGAAATATGAATAAGGATTGCGTAAATTTAAAACGAATTGAAGCACGATTTAATGTTAACAAACAAGAGGATCATGCAGAACAGATTTTATGCACATTGACTTTGCAAAGCACGGATTTCACAGGACGTTTCAGAGTGGTATGTTTTTTTGTAATTTTCTTATACATTAAATATACAATGTTATCTACCATTTAATTGTGGTATTTTTCAGAAAACTAAGGTAATAGAAACAAAATCATTGTTAATTTTTCTAAGGAGCGGTGAACCGTCATACAAAAGCAAGAGCTTAAAGGATTAGTTCACTTTAAAAAAAAAATTTTTCTGATAATTTATTCACCCTATGTCATCTAAGATTTCCATGTCTTTCTTTCTTCAGTCTAAAAGAAATTAAGGTTTTTGATGAAAATATTCCAAGATTTTCTCCATATAATGGACTTTATTGGGCACCAAACGGTTCAAGGTCCAAATTGCCAGTTTCATTGCAGCTTCAAAGGGCTTTAAACGACACCAGACGATGAATAAGGGTCTTATCTAGTGAATCAATCGGTCATTAAAAAAATTAATCAAAAAAAGTTTAAGTTTTATAAACACAAATGCTCGCATGCTCTGTTCTGTGATGCGTATTCATGACTCTCCTGTTCGAACTCGTTCATCAAAATGAACTAATCTTTTTCAAGTCATTTCTTTCATTCAAACGTATTTTTGAAATGACCGATTATTTTGCTAGATAAGACCCTTATTCATCATCTGGTGTAGTTTAAAGCCTTTTGAAGCTGCACTGAAACTCATTTGGACCTTGAACCGTTTGGTACCCATTGAAGTCCATTATATGGAGAAAATCCTGGAATGTTTTCATCAAAAACCTTAATTTCTTTTCGACTGACGAAAGAAAGACATGGACATCTTAGATGACATGGGGGTGAGTAAATTCTCAGCAAAAGTTTTTTTTTTTTAAAATGTGAACTAATCCTTTAAAAGCAACAGAAAACAAGCCATTCTCCATAACATGTGCAGCTCACAGATAAACATTGGGGTTATAATGTTTAGGAAAAACCAGGCCTGGTCCTCTTTTTTTGTGTATTCCGTGTGCGCGGATTATTTAAATGAGTTCCATTGTGACTTTGTAAGATCTGGAAAAAATGTGTTGTAATCCGAACGAGTCGTTCATTGTAGTTTTTGGAAAGTGGATTCTGTTTGGAATAGAGCTTTGTAACCTTGCAGATCTTTTATTATGCCCAAACTAAAAAAGTGGAAAAACATAATAGGACCCCTTTAACAACACCGTTTCTGTTAATAAAAAAGTTTGAAAACAAGCAATGTGATCATAATTACAGCAGAGGTACAATCTTAGCCAATATGGAGGGCCTTCGATTATTGTGTTGAAAATGGGGGGCTTTTGAGTTAAAAGGTTGACAAACACAGTTCTACGTGTATGTTCTATACAGTATATGTTTTGAACCAGGGAATACAGCTGCGTCCTAGTAAGGCAGCATATCTCAACACTTGAATGGTCGTATCATTCTAACATTTAATGCTGAGGAGGACTTTAGCCTACCAACCTCAGAAGGACTCAATGCAGAAATGCAAAATGCATTGAGAAGTATACACCATGTAGTTTTAGACTATTTCTATATTCTTCCAGCAGAGGGCGTTCATGGTTTATGTAGAAGTTTGACAAAATCCTGAGTTTACCAGTATAAACAATAAAATAAAAACCCTTACCTGCTTATTATCTTGTTCATTATTTTACTCATTTGCTTGATTAAAATCAAAGTCATCTTATAAATAATAGAAAGCAGTTTATATTGCTCACAGTGTAACGACAATCTAGGCATGTGCAGTATTTCCTATTGGTTTTAAGCCAGTATTATTGGATATTTAATTGTGCATGTTTATTTAAATCATTTAAATTGAAGTTTCAGCTTACCTTCTCTTAAAAAAAATCTTTAAAAACGAATTTATTAAGACTTTTAAATGTGCAATTCATGTTCATTTTGTCATGTTTTTTAGTTTGAATTTTCAGATGCATTACTTTCTCAAAGGAATCAAACAATTGCTTAATAAGTTAACATTCACAAATGCATAATATAATTCAAATTCACAAATGCATAATAAGATGCTTGTTTTGTTCTGAGCTAGTTTTAAATCATATGCTGATTATTTGAATGTAATTTGTCATTCTTGCTACTGACATGCTGGGTTAAGAAATTACTCATTATGAAATGTGCAAGTTGCGCTATAATTACAGCTAACATACTGCAATTATCTCTCCTTGGGGACTGTTTGTATTCTCTCAAAGGTACTAGACGGGGGCATTTTACCTCTGGGAAAGAAGTGAAAACTGAGATGGATCTGTTTGAAGCTCCATGGCAACAAAAGGCCAATTGCTGCACAATCTTTGGAAAAATAGCTACCTTATAGAGAGTGTAATTGATGATTATTAAGTTCATTGTAATCATTTTCAAATTGCTGCCTTTGAAGTTCAGGAACATGCAGACTTGGATATATGACGCTTATT